GATCCTTGGATAAAATCAAATTTCATTATTTATAAAGGGAAAATTAAAGTTTCTTGATTTGGGGTAAAATTGTAAAAAATATAAAAATTGTTTTCATCTATTATTTGGTGCTCTGTACCACCTAATTATGTAATTTATATTGTTTTATATGTACTTAATTCATACTACACCTATGACATATAGGAGATTGTAGGGGCAAAAAGGCGTGATACCTTTACTCACCCATCATAAGGGTCACAGCCAACATGCCTATAACAAAAGACAGGTTAACAAGAGAAAACATAACAAATTTATTTAATCAAAGTTTTACGTGACATGGGATCTGTTACACGTCTCACTGTGGAACAGAGACAAAAAAAGGGTTACTCAAAGCATCACGAATGCTATGAGAAGCCCAAAGGGGCTGCACCTCAGCAACTCCTCTGTTAGGAGGAAAAAACTGGGTACAGCCCGATTCAAAGTTAGCTTCTGTTTTTTATTGTAAAGACAAGGAAGTTTCACAAGAAAAATCAGTTGATTCAATCATTACAAAAGGACACAAAGACATGGGCAGTGTTACAAAAGGTATCTATGGCTAAGTATAGCTTAAACAATGGAAACTAGTAACATCAGTAAAATTAACCATGTGAGATTCCAAAGTACAATTGTGAAAAGCTAAGTTGGTCAAACCATGCTCATTATGTAAAGTATAACCTCTCCTTAAGCAAAAGTTATACTCTTATGATAAAATCTAAGTATAATTATCTCTAAAGTTTCCACCAACAGACAGCTTGTCCCTAGCAAACATTTTTTCGCCGCTTTCTCTTCAGCAATTCTTAAAATCTCTTAACAGGATCGATATGACAACCACCTGTTAGCTCTGAAATCATTAAAGTATACAATCCCATACCTAAGCAGTGATTAGAGTTGGTTAGATGGGCTGTTGCCCTCTGGCTATAGGCTGTGGCCTCCTAACCCAAGGACTTTTGCCCCATATACGTATTTACCTAAAAACCCTATTCTAAAAGTCAAATGAGATTCAACATTATTTAATTAGAATTGATTAAATGGGCTGTTGCCACACTATCTGTAGACCATAGTCTCCTACCTGAGGGTTTTTGCCTCATACATGTATTTACCTAAAAACCCTATTCTAAAAATCAAATGAGAATCAAGATTTCTAACCCTCCACATTTACCCCCTATTTATTTATTTAAAGAATCAGAAGCGATCGAGGAGTTGGAGTCAATGGTGGAAGAAAGGATGTTCTGATGAAGAAGAGTCAGCATTACTTCAGCTTTAGAAGTCCATTGGAACAGGGAACATAATGATGTA